TTCTCTTAGGCAGTGAGCTTTCTGCTGTGGTAGTAAATTCTATTTCTCTTGTCAGCTGGCTACCATCCGTTTCCCGAAAGAGACAAAAAAAAGAAAAAATTTTTTAGAAGAAAAAAGGCCTTTGTGGACCAGTTTTGATAAAATTCTTTATCTCTACAAATCGTTCACATGAGATTTACAACATAACTGAAAACATCAGAATGGAAAAAGAAACAAAAGCAGCTTTTTCAAAGTTAATCATTCAGACAAGCAAGAGATGTCTTGTCGAGCCAAAACAACAAAAAGTGAGGAGAAGCCTAAAATAAGCTCCAACAAAGCTGGATTCATCGATTTAGCACATCATATCCTATCTTTCGACAGATCCATGTCTTGAGTCCTAAAAATTTTGAAGTGAACTTGTCTAAATTACAGGAAGCAAAGAGCAAACATATCCAACAGCGTAAAGCGTTAGGTCGCAAAAGTAATATATGTGATGAAACGATCCGGAAAATTTGCACAAAGCTTGGAACATCCGAGAATAAAAGAAAGAAACGAAATTTAAAATCTACGATGCTCTGAATGATGGATGTATTTGTGGAAATTTTTTCGTTGAACAGGAATCGGGAGATTGGCACTTACGAGATTAATTTTTGAATAGAAATAAAAAAATAAATTGAAAATCTCATTCTGATTACAAATCCTTCAGAACGCTTCATTCTTTTCACCGCTATCAATGTGATTAACATGTTTTTTTCTTTCAGTAAGTATTTTTTTCAAATAAGAGCAATCAAATAAGTATTACCTGCTCAGAACTTTATCTAATTAATTCCTTCAATTAATTTTCATAATGCGACAGAAAGATATGGGAAATCTAAGCTGTGAAATATTTATTTCTTTGGGAATTATTTTCTTGCCAAATCATCTTCTTGACCTGCCAACTCGGTAACTGACCAGTCATCCCACAATCATCAAGCGAATCATCCCACAATTCATAATGCTTAATAATGCGTACTATATGATGTTAAATTTAAGCTAAAATTAGTAAATATGCAAATTTCAGCATCAGTTCGTCTTGGCATGGGCGACTTCATTTTCTATAGTTTGCTGGTAGATAAAGCCTCCGCGACACGTAATACAATGTGCGTTGCTGACTCAATGGCTGGCTGGCTGGCTGGCATACTCACCCTGGCAGTACTGTCTAGCTACGATGAACCCACTACAGCACTATCTGTTCCGATCGATTACCATCGCTGTACTGCTACATTCTGCTACATTTATCTGTTCGTCGAACCATTCCATAATCGCATAGTGATGAGCACAAAATTATTTACCTCTAGACAAAACAGAACTGTCTCCACCATATGACTTCTCCAGTTGCAGGCAAGTTCATCAGTTCATAAATTTGATACATGCCAAAGATCATAAGGGATCATCTTAGTGACAGCATATTTTGCATTAAAAAACAATACAATGGAATCAACGCTACATTATGAAAGAAATAACGAATAAATAAAAGAAAGTGAGAATGCAATCAACAATGCCAAATTTAAGAATAAACTTTAAAATCGAAGATGAAACGAAGGAGTCAAAAAGTAAGCAATATAAACTAATTAAAAATGCAATACATTCTAGGTATAAATAAATGAAGCGACAAATACTATTATTATTATTATTATTATTAAAAATCCAACACTTTAAAAGTCAAAGAGTAAAACAGTTGAATTAAATCCTTGCTGAACACCCCGATGCTGAATTCATCAAAGTTGAAGTGATACAGCCAAACATTACGCCTAAATAATTAAGTTGCAATTCAAAGCAACATAACAGCCAAAAAAATCCACTATTACTAGAAAGTTCAATCTGTATTAATATTAGATTTAAAACTGAATGTTTCGTAAAATGTGAACCGAGGAAAGTTAGGCAATGAATCATTAAATTTCATCTTATAAATGTTTCGTATAATATCAATTGATTCAGATAATGAAACTTAACTATTACATACTTCTCTCAAAACTTTACTTCGCCGTAATAACTATTACAAGTACCGATTATCCTCCAACTTGAAATTACTATTTTACATGTTTTTTGAAAAAAGCTTTCAGAAAAAAAATCCGAAAAGATTATGCTTCAAAGTGTTAAGGAAAACAAAGAACAAATAATTTAACCTATTGTGAAAAGTTTTCTAGAAAATTCCAAGAGAAGGAATATCGATTGCCAAAAACCAATCGATTGGTAACCATAACTGCATGAGATCCAAGCAAAAAAAAAAAAAATAAATAAATAAATAAAAACAAAAAGACACAAAAAAGAAACAAAAGAATGATTGATGATGATTTCGATAAGAATGAGACGTTGGTCATGGTCGTTTAATAGAAATACATGTAGAAATAACATTAACATAGTTCACAGTAATATTTTTGTTTCCGAAACTGTACTTTCCTTTGTGTTATTCAGGTAAATGAGATTAAAGCTTGTCTTTATTTTAGTTCGAAGAAGTTTCGGTAGAATTTATACTTTCTAACTTAACTGCTCACGTCCGCTTACGCCGTCAACTCTGCTTTCCGATCAGTCTAATCATAGAGAGGATAGCAGTTTTCATAAAATTTAAAAGAAGGAAATTCGCAAATGGTACATGAACCGTGAAACGTTATGGACGTAGCTAACAAATCATATTTGAAATTTTGAACTAGATATGAAGGGATTTTAACCACGGTAATTGCTATTCCTGCAATAGCTGCAACTGTTTTCAAAGTCCGACAGTCAGGGTTAGAGGCATGACTAATGCTAGCAACAGAACTAAATCTGCTAACAATTTCGTCTTATCAGTGCCACTTACTCTGTCTGCAAGTACTGCACATGAGAGTGAAAAATCTATATCTAGTAAAAATACCGTAATGACAGCTTAGTCTTAAACATTTTTTACTTCTGATAAAATAAAAAACCAACCATACTTTTGGATCCTCCCCGACTTCTTTTAATATAACAGTATGACACTCTCTGCACGTCCATAATGTGTTGACTATATCATCTAAACCTTTTAAGTCTATTCTCGCCACCACAGCATTAATCCCTTGTTTGACCAAGGGAAAATCTAGTACTTGGATCTGTGTGCTTGATTAGTATGTACTCGCGTTCAGTCAACATGAAAACATTTCGGTAGACACTAGTAGCTTTTAGATTTGACAAAAAAATCTGTGTTGATGTTTGCTGTACATTTATATTACTAATAGTACTTTTGCTTGCATCTTCAACGCTCTGAATAGCAAAAACCACAAAGGCATTTAATTTTCTCATCACTTTCAACCAGTCCTTTATCTTAGATGCAAAAAGAGGATTATATATTAATGTCCATACCTCATTAAGGACGATAATAGATGGAGTGCCATCAAGAGATATACTAATCCTGTGAAATAATAAGTCAAGACTAGCCCAAAAGCAACGGGATCTTTGAGTAAGCTAGCCATTTCAAAGCCAAATACTCTTGCTTTTGAAAAATCTATCAAATCTTTATTGTTATCAAATACTGCAACATGAGAGCTATTACCATACCACATAGATATCACTCCAGCTAGAGTATCAGAACCTGCAAGTCCTAAAAAGGGTACTAGGTTTCTGAAGGATCTATCTTCTTTTCATAATTTAAAATTTTCTTCAATTACTTATCATTATTTAACTATTATATGGTTAAATTTCTATTTTATGTACTGTTATTGCCGCTAATAATAAATACTAATAATAAATATATTAAAGCATAATGAAAATTTATCTAAAAATCCTTGAGTATTTTCAGAACTTAGCTAAAATTTTTTTGACACCTCCTGATTATTTCTGTTGTCAGGAGGTGTCAAAATTGCGCCTCGAAAAGTTGTAGTCTCAAACTGTGGATGGTAATCTATGGCAAAACAGCCAAGAGGGACAAGAATTTTAAAAGAATATTCTAAAATTAAGAATGATATAGAGTCATTTTCAAAGCTAGAAAGTGATTATAACGATGCTATCAGTTTAATGAAATCCACTATTGATGAAAACGATGAAGAGTTTTTCTCTGAAATTGAAAATGAATTACTGAAATCAGAGAAATTAGTTAAGCGTAAAGAAACAAATTTCTTATTTACTGATGGAGCAGATAATACTGAAATCCACTCAGGAGTTGGTGGAACAGAGAGCGATGATTAGACTGAAATGTTGATGTGCATTTGATAGATATTAATATCTATTCGATATTAACCAGGGTTTCTTTTGCCTTTCTCATTTAATTAAAAATTTAACTAATTTTATCATGATGTTTGTCTCCCATTCATTCATGTAGCGTAACAATTCACCAACGACAGATTTCAATCGTTCCTCTCAAAAAAAGAAAAAAAAAATGGGTTGGCTTTTTTGTCGTAATCCACGATAATTAAAACATTATTTAAAAAGGGATGACAATGGAATATGAACAATGGAAAGAAATATTAAGTGCAATCGATAAGGAAACAATTAAGTAAAGATAATGCAATTGCAAAAATAAAAGAGAATTTAAAAAAATGGATTTACGTACATATGGAAGGAAACTAATTTTGATGTAAATCACTTATTTGCAGTGAAAAATGGACTATTGCATTTGCTGTTCACAATAATCTAAAAAGTGTGGTGAAAGCTTTATTTGGGTGGAAGGAATTGATATTAATTAATGCAGTGGACAAAGATACATTTGGCTGTTGAGAAGGCTGTTGAGAAGTCATATTGATATAGTGAAAAATCTGTTAGAAGGAAATGTCAATGTAGATGATGATGAAGATAAATGCACTCCTTCACATTGTATCAAGGGTGCACAGGCAACGGAGACTCTAATAGAAGCAAGCGTAAATGTTAATGCAGACGATAAAGATAAATGCACTCCCTCACATGTATCACGGGCGTACAGACAGCAGAAACTAATAGAAGCAGGGGTATCGAGCCAGAAATTATGGAAGCGGTACTGTCGATGCTGCGCGAAGCAGAGGCAAAGATTTCAATAGATGTTATTGAAATAGGAGAGCGTGACCATAACGATCATAGCCTGCTCTTTTCTCAGAATCAGATAGGACTTCATACGCAGCTGTTATTTCATTAAATTTCTCCTCTGCTTCTTTATTGCCAGGATTCCTATCTGGATGATACTTTAACGCTAATTTTTTATATGCTTTTTTTATCTCATCAGTACTAGCATTTCTATCTACCCCCAGCGGCTTATAGTAGTCTTTTTTACTCATATATAACAGTTCAGTATTTAATTTTTAAAGACAGGTATTGCATATATCAATTTCAAGTGTGGCATCTGTTTCCTATCTAGACAAGAACATAGTGCACTAATAATACCGAAAGCAAATTCTTCTCACAACCTTTGTGTTAAACGAGTAAAATTACCATATTTCGTACATCTCAAGTAATTGCATGAAAGGTATTACCAAGCCCAGAACTAACAGGAGAACTAAAGTAAACTTATGAAATAAAATTGGAATTTCAATCAGGTCAGTGAAAAATTTTTGCCAGCTGCAATTTTACAAATTCTCTCATTTTATAGCCTAAGCTTGTAAAAGTATAGGGTATAGTACAGCATGATGTTATTAACATGGTAGCAAATAAAAATACAGGTATTAAAGAGAATTTTAATAAATATATGCACAATGGAGTTGAAATTTCGTTTGTGGAAAGAGGTTATTGGGCAATTCACTTAACAAAGCTAACGCATTTTAGCTTGTAGCTAGTTCTTTAGCTACTCTTACGTTACTTGCATCTGTAACATTTGCTGCATTTTCTAGTGTACCTCTTCCTCTAGCCTTTACTTTAGCTATGTTGTCTGTTTTAGCAGCTATACTTTCACATAAAATAACTAGTAGTAATAAGAAAAGGAGAACTGAGAGAGATGAGGTTACTAAAGGAGGGCAAGAACTAGAAAATAATTCTAGAGAAGGAAACTGGGAAAGCCGCAAGCAAACTAATGAAGAAGTTGAAGAATCTATTAAACCAGAAAAGTAGAGAGCTAATTAGTGTAAAACAACAGTTAGATAATACTGTATAAAGAGTTAAATGATAGAGATGGTAAAATCAAAAAGCTAGAGAATAAAATAATAGAGTTAAACGACAAAATAGCTGTAATTGTGGGTGCCTCAAACAAGAATACAGAAAAATTAAGTAGTCAGTTAAATTTGGCTCAAGGAAAGTCTAATGTGGAACTGAAAACGCAGTTCTTCGCAAGGAAAAAGAATTCTTAGAGTACAAATTGGAAGGTAAAATAGACTATATAGCTGAAATATTGCAATGTAAAGACAAATTGGGAAAAGTAACAATCAACGAGATTAATGAAAACTAAGAAAGATTGCATGATATAGACAAACAGTTGCAAGAGCAAGTAAATAATCTAGATAGAACAGAAAAATCTACAGCAGAATTGGAGAGAAAAATACAAGAACATAAAGAAGAATTTATGAAAAAAGAAAAAAAAGCAAACGACTGGAAGAGACAAACACCGTGCTTACAAAAAATAACAAAACTCTTTTTGATAGGCAAAAAAGAATAACCACTCTGATATGTCAGATTGTAAGTTTTATTGAATAAAAAAGAAAAATTTAAAAAATCTTTATAACAATGTATAAAAAGTAAGACTTTCATAAGTGTACTGACAATTAAAAAGGTTGTAAAGAACTTTAAAACTTTACTTTAGAAGTCAAAAATGCAGCAGAAGAGCTTGGCATACTCATAGAAAGTAAAGAAAGTACTTCATGAGGAATAGAGTAACATGGATAATCCGTAGAGGTTATTAAGTAGCTTAGGCTTGACTAGTTGTAATAATCTACGTGAGTTTACCTATTACAGTATAAGAATTGTGGTAGTACATTTGCAGACATGGCTTCTTGTACTCTACGTTATGCTTTGCTCTGAAGCGTTTGCTTACCTGGTGTGACTCTAACTTATTTTAAAGCCGAGCTTACCTCCTCAACTTAACTATTTCAACACATTCAAAATCAGAGTCCACTTTTACTTCAAGTTGCTTGTGAATATGCTTATTTACATTATTAGCAAACCTGCTTCTAATTAGGACATCTTCCCTGATGTCACAGAAAGAAATATAGTATTATTTGAATTAAGGTGGAATTTTACATCATTTTTGCAATCTTTCAGATATATATCCCTCCGAAAATCTGGTATTTTTCTCTGTATAGCCCTTTTAGGATTTATTCGACAGAATTCTCAAAAAAAAATATGTCTATTTCTTTAGGTACACTTGATGGAATTATGATATCGTCATTAATTCTGTTTTCTTTTAGAGAAAAAAGTTCAATGTATGTCCTTTTTTTACTGTGTTTTTCGAAGTATTTAGGGAGATACATATTAAGATACTCAGAATGTAGTTCTATACGATTTTTTTACTTATATTCTGGATTAAATATATATTTATTGCCATTTTGCTTAAGTTTACATGTTTTAAATTTACCGAGTTCAGTATTGAAATTTCCTGGTTCAATCTCAAAAGCAAGTGCCATCGCCAATTGTTGTGTCCTCGCATTTGGTAAATGGGCCGATTTTAGCCGATTTTATTTACCAGGTCCTATTCTTACTCCAGGGTTCGTATGGTATTGGGGTTTCAAGGCTCTTTGGTGCAATAATAGAAGCTTTCCATGATGATAAAGGAATTACCTGGCCAGAAGCAGTGGCTCCTTTCAGGGTTGGGTTAATCAACTTACAGACAAAAACGGCTGAATATGTAGAGATTGCAAATAAAATATACAGTACTTTAAAAAGTGACGAAGTGTTTCATAATGATACAGAAGGAAGTATAGGAGTAAGATTTGCTAAGATGGACCTCATAGGCTTGCCATGGCAAATAATTGTTGGGAAGAAAGCAGTAAGTGAAAATATAATTGAAATAAAAAATAGAGCAACTGGAAAGGTAAAGGAAGTGCAGATTGAAGAAGCAATAAACTACTTTAACGTAAAATGATACGTGGTATCGGTACTGACATAGTATATATACCAAGAATACTAAGAATATTACAAAAATATGGGAAAAAATTCTTCAATAAAATCTATACCGAGCAGGAAATAGAGATAAGCAGAAAATACAACAGCCAAGAAATGCAAGCAAAGTATCGTGCTAAACGCTTTGCAGCAAAGGAAGCCTTTGTTAAGGCACTAGGTGGATTCAGCCATGGCATTATAATGAAAGATATAGAAATATACAATGACGTAAGAGGAAAGCCGCATCTTACTGTTAGCAAGAATTTCATCTTCAAAGACCACATGATTCATCTTTCTCTCAGTGACGATGGAGATTGCGCTACTGCGTTTGTTATAATTTACAGCTCACTTCCGTAACTGCGCAAATATTTGCTTTTCCCTATGCGACAGATTTAGTATTAAATTTCCAAATTAATGCACTCAAATACACGATTATTCCTAGCAGAATCATAAATATTGAAAGCAACTGTCCCATGGTTAAATCAAGCCACAAATAACTAACTTGATAATCTGGTTCACGAAAAAACTCAACCACAAAACGCACTGTTCCGTACCATATAACTGCAATGCCAGTTAATGTACCGTGATATAGTCTTATTCTAGTCAAAAAAAACAGTGAATTTGCAATTGCGAAAAATAACAATCCTTCAAAAAACGCCTCGTAAAGCTGACTTGGATGGCGCAGTAAATTATCACCACTCTCTGGAAATACCATGCCCCATGGCATAGTTGTAACCCTGCCAAACAACTCTCCGTTTACAAAATTGCCTATGCGGCCTAAAAACAAACCTATGGGAACTCCACAAGAAATTAGATCCAGTGTGTAAAATATAGGAATATTATATCTTCTAAACGAAACTCCTATAGCGCCACCGTGAAATGACATTCCTCCTTTCCAAGTCTTCAATATCTCAATAGGGTTGTTTATGTAGGAGATTGGATCGTATATTAATACAAAGCCAAGTCTGCCTCCAAGAATAATACCTATAATAGTGGCTGTTAACAGTGAATCATAAAAATTCTTAGTAAATATTTTTTGCTCGTCCAACTTATGTAAATACCAATATGCAAAGACTATACCTAAAGTATAGAGACAGGACCGATGCTAAAAATTGCTGGACTTAAAGACATATTTTACTATAGGTTATTTTTAGACAATCTACTTTTTTCACGATTCCACTCTCTCTGCTTTATGGTTTCTCTTTTGTCATAAAGTTTTTTTCCTTTCACAATAGCAATTCTAGTTTTTACTAATCCTTTGTCATTAAAATAAATTGAAAGTGGCACAATAGTAACTCCAGCAGTCTTGATCTGACTGATTAATTTATTTATCTCTTTTTTATGCAGAAGCAATTTACGTTCCCTTTTCGGCTTATGTTTTTTTTTGTTTGCAGCTTTATATTTTGCAATGTGCATATTGTGCAGCCATATTTCACCATTTTTTTCAGTGACATAAGCATCAGAAATATTTACTTTTCTTTCTCTAAGAGATTTAACTTCACTACTTAAAAGGACCATACCTGCTTCAAACTCTTCTAGGATAAAGTATTCAAACCTTGCTTTTCTGTTTTCTGCAATAACTTCCATATTTAAAAACATTCCTCAGACTTTAATATATACAGGATTTTTAGCTCTTGCAGCAATGTTAAAAAAATAATATTCTAAAATTCAAAACTCGTACGTTCAAGGCCTATCGGATAGGCTAGTGTAATCCGATATTTTTTGAGGTGCGAGACATAGTTGATCTTTAGTATAACTTTTAGCTGCAAATATTTACGGAACTTACCAAGCAGAAAAAAAGGCAAAAAAAAATCCAGAGTAGCTAGTTATCAACTCTTTACTTTAAAAATTTTGACGTTGGGTAATGCCTTAAGTGCTTTATAAGCGAGTTTCAGCTTATTAATCTACTAAGATTAGAAAATTATATAAAATAACTCCATTTTCATGATAAGAGAACTAGCAAAATGTGTCAAGTAATTTTTGCATTTCTATGAGCTACTTGAATTCCTGAAATTACAATATTCATATAGTTGTGGGATCAGTGCTCTAATCGACATCCATAGGTTATTAACATAATCAATTTATAGAAGCGGATGTTATAGAAAAGGAAATATGTTTTAGAAAAAATAGAAAATCCTAGAGAGAATATAGCTTATGAGTTAGTAAATAATGAGAGTAAATTAACAAATGAAAATAAACAAAAAAATCTTGAGCTAGCAAAAAAAAATAAAAAAAGAAGAAAATATTGCTAATATATTAAAGAAATCTGGTAACAACGCAAAGAAAATTTTAATAATTACGGTATCTTTCAATGATCAAGAAGAAAAGTGGGGGTTTTCTCTGCTGTACCCTGTCATATGCCATAAAAGTATCAAGGCTGTTAAAGATCTTTTAGAAGAAGCTAAAAAACAAGAGCTTTTAAAGGAAGTGCTGAGCGAGAAAATGACCGTAAAATTTTCAGGTGGTACCAATAGGAACTTATACTCTGCTTAATTATACCAGGAGAGAATCGAGATAAAATTTTTAATAGCAGCTAAAGATGAAAATATTTTGTTAATATTTTTAGTATAAAAATAACTATAGAGCAGCAAACCGTTTCCACTATTACCAAAAAAACTGCTACCAATACTGTAACTATTCCAGCTAATAACCCAGCTTCACACGAAAACGATAAAGATAGTCTTGATACAGCAACTGTAAAACATGACAGCAAAGTATTCTGCAATGAGAGAGCGTAGTATTAAAAATATCAAATATTATTTTGAACTCAATTGTTAAAATATCAATTAAAGATATCAATTAAAACTATTAAAACTATTAAAAAATATCATTTCATTAAAAAAAATTAGTTATTTTGAACTCAATTGATTAATTTTATGCGTTGCATACGTACCGGTCACTTACAGTGTGGTCAATTGACAACATAAATAAGAAAATAAACTTTAATAACTTAGTTTTTTTTTTAATATTCGAGAAGTGAAATTAATAAAATTTTTGGTTTGTCGTAGATTTAATTCATTTCTGCAGCTAAAATTAATTTTTATTTAAAATCTTAAGATCAAATTTTATGAAAATTTTATGATTTGCAATGAATCAGAGCATATTTTGTATATTAGACTACGAAACAATTTCTAGTAATAACAAATTTTAATTAAATGTTAAAACTGTTAAAAAAAAAATATATATATATATATATTCATTAAAAAAGTTAGATATTTTGAGCTTAAATGATTAATTTATATGCATTGCAAGGGTACTGGTCATTTACAGTTGGTGAATTGATCAGCATAAATAATTAAGCAAACTTTAAAAGTTAAGTTTTAATCAATATTTGATTAGCAAAATTAATTAACTTTATAATTTATCGCGGTTTTAACTCATTCTTACAATTAAAATCAATTTTTTTTTCAAATTTAAATATGAAATTTTATAAAAGTCGTATAATTTTTAAAAATTCTTGTACATTAAACTATGAAATAAATTGCGGCATTGCCAAATTTCACTTTATTTAAATGTTAAAATATTAAAAAAACATCAATTCGTAAAGAAAATTAGATGATTTGAACTTGATTGATTAATTTATAAGCGTTGCATAGGTACTGGTCAATCACGGTGCGGTCAATTGGTCAGCATAAAATATTAAAAAATAACTTTTAATCAATACTTCATTAGCAAAATAAATTAAAATCTTTGTTTGTCACGGTTTTATTTCATTCTTGCAATTGTAATTAATTTATTTTCCAAATTTAAATACCATAATTTAAGAAAATTGTGCAGTTTGTAAAAGTTTTTGCATATTAAACTATGAAATAAATGTCGGTGTTGTCAAATTTCAATTTAATTAAAATGTTAAAACTATTAAAAAATATCAATTCGTAAAGAAAATTAGATATTTTGAGCTTAATTGATTAAATTTTATGCATTGCATTGGTACTGGTATTTACAATTGGTCAATTGATCAGCATGAATAATATAAATAATCTTTAATAATTAAGTTTTAACCCATATTTGATTAGCAAAATTAATTAAATTTTCAATTTGTGACGGTTTTAATTCATTCTTACAATTAAAATTAATTTTTATTCCAAATTTAAATATCAAAATTTAACAAAATTCAATATTTTTTTTAAGGTTTTGTATAATAAATTATAAAATAAATTCCAGTAATGTCAAAAATATATTTTAATTAAGTGCTAAAATATTTAAAAATATCAATTCTTAAAAAAAAAAAATAGATATTTTGAACTTAATTGATTAATTTATAAGCGTTGCGTAGATACTGGTCAAATACATTGTGGTCATTTGACCAGCAAAAACAATTAAATAAATTTTAATTTTTAAATTCTGATTAAAATTTCAGTTGTGAAAATAATAAAATTTTTAATTAGTCATAGACCTAACTCATTTTTACAATTAATGCTAATTTTTATTTCAAATTTAAAATTGATTTTTGTAAAAATCCTATTATTTGTAAGAATTTTTGCATAATAAATTGGAAAAAAACCCTGCTATTATCAAATTTAATCTTAATTAAATATTAAAATATTAAAAAATATCAAAACATTAAAAAAAAAAATGGATATTTTGTACTTCATTGATTGAATTTTATGCGTTCCGTAGGTACTGGTCACATACATCGTGGTCATTTGTCCAGCAAAAATAATAAAATAAACTTTAAAAATTAAGTTTTGATCAAAATTTTATTAGCAAAATTAATTAAATTTCAAATTTTTCACGATTTTAGTTCATTCTTACAATTAAAATTAATTTATATTTCAAATTTAAATAATACATTTACAAAATTCCCATAATTTATACGGGTATTTGCATATAAAACTAGGTAAGAAGTTCTACTATTATCAAAATTTAATTTCAGAGGATGTTAAAACTATTAAAAAATATCATTTAATAAAAAAAAAATTGATTATTATATTCGCATAGTGCGGGAACTGGTCACATACATTGTGGTCATTTGACATTTTAAATAATAAAATAATGCTTAGGCTTAGGCTTAGGGTATATTTAGGCTTAGGCTTAAGCATTATTTCAAATCTAAAAATTGATTTTGGTGAAAATTTTATAATTTGCAAGAGCTTTGGTATATTAAAGGGAGAAAAAATGTCTAGTTTTATCAATTTTGATTTTAATTAAATGTTAAAACTATTAAAAAATATCAATTCATTAAAAAAAAATAGTTATTTTGAACTCAGTTATTTAATTTTATGCGTTGCATACGTAATAAGAGAATAAACTTTAATAACTAAGTTTTTTTTTTTAATATTTGAGAGGTGAAATTAATAACATTTTTAATTTGTCGTAGATTTAATTCATTTCTCAATTAAGTTCAAAATATCTATTTTTTTTAAAGAATTGATATTTTTAAATATTTTAGCACTTAATTAAAATAAATTTTTGACATTACTGGAATTTATTTTATAATTCATTATACGAAACCTTAAAAAAATATTGAATTTTGTTAAATTTTGATATTTAAATTTGGAATAAAAATTGATTTTAATTGTAAGAATGAATTAAAACCGTCACAAATTGAAAATTTAATTAATTTTGCTAATCAAATATGGGTTAAAACTTAATTATTAAAGATTATTTATATTATTCATGCTGATCAATTGACCAATTGTAAATACCAGTACCAATGCAATGCATAAAATTTAATCAATTAAGCTCAAAATATCTAATTTTCTTTACGAATTGATATTTTTTAATAGTTTTAACATTTTAATTAAATTGAAATTTGACAACACCGACATTTATTTCATAGTTTAATATGCAAAAACTTTTACAAACTGCACAATTTTCTTAAATTATGGTATTTAAATTTGGAAAATAAATTAATTACAATTGCAAGAATGAAATAAAACCGTGACAAACAAAGATTTTAATTTATTTTGCTAATGAAGTATTGATTAAAAGTTATTTTTTAATATTTTATGCTGACCAATTGACCGCACCGTGATTGACCAGTACCTATGCAACGCTTATAAATTAATCAATCAAGTTCAAATCATCTAATTTTCTTTACGAATTGATGTTTTTTTAATATTTTAACATTTAAATAAAGTGAAATTTGGCAATGCCGCAATTTATTTCATAGTTTAATGTACAAGAATTTTTAAAAATTATACGACTTTTATAAAATTTCATATTTAAATTTGAAAAAAAAATTGATTTTAATTGTAAGAATGAGTTAAAACCGCGATAAATTATAAAGTTAATTAATTTTGCTAATCAAATATTGATTAAAACTTAACTTTTAAAGTTTGCTTAATTATTTATGCTGATCAATTCACCAACTGTAAATGACCAGTACCCTTGCAATGCATATAAATTAATCATTTAAGCTCAAAATATCTAACTTTTTTAATGAATATATATATATATATATTTTTTTTTTAACAGTTTTAACATTTAATTAAAATTTGTTATTACTAGAAATTGTTTCGTAGTCTAATATACAAAATATGCTCTGATTCATTGCAAATCATAAAATTTTCATAAAATTTGATCTTAAGATTTTAAATAAAAATTAATTTTAGCTGCAGAAATGAATTAAATCTACGACAAAC